TAGTACTTTTAAAAACGACATATGTATATATGCATATATAAATATATACACACACATTTATTAAAAAAAATAGCCTAATCAAAAGAGAATGGCTAAGTAAATTAAAATACATCCATTCAATAAGTATTTATAGCTGCTAAAAATTATGAATAATTTTGGAAAGTAAAAATGATCCTTAGATAAATGAATAAAGTGTAATTAAAAACTATTGCATATATGTTATGATCTCAGTTATGTAAATATACACATGTCTGGAAAGGATTAGGAAGAAATGCATCAAAATATTGGTGTGTTATCTTTAGATGGTGGAGTTGTCACGTTTACTTTCTTTTGTGTACTTACGTATTCCACATTTTTGTATTTATGTATTCCACATTTTCGTATTTATGTATTCCACATTTTCTAGGCTGAATATTTTTTTGGCAGTACTTGACCAAACCTCTTGTTAACAATTTTCTACTTTTAAAAGTAACATTCGTTGTAGAATATGTGAAAAAAAACTTGAACATGTCGTTTAAAATATTGGCTAGCATTATGTTAACCATGTTGGGTGCTTTAAAGAAAATTCTAAGTGAGAAAAACACTGAAGTCTAAATAACGACATTGTAATTTAAACCAGAATTCTATCCCATCTGACATGATTTAGATGAGAATTTTGTTTTTAATTTTTGCATGAGAATATTTGAACATTTTGTGTGCTAGAACAGAGGTCCGACAGCCTTTGGCAAGCGATGTGCCAAAGGGATGAGCTGTGGAGTGGGCTGTTGTCCTCTAACCAGGGACCTGGTCTTTGCTGGCCACTGGTTCCAGATCAGAAAAGAGGATAAGATGAGGATGGAATAACAACTTTTATGCAGAGGAAATTATGGCTGTTGTCTCCTTTGACAAGGTAGTGTAAGAAAGGCGATGTATAGGTTAGGGCCATAGATCTGTGTGTAAGAAATCAGTAGGAGTCTCGTTCAGTTGTGGTGGAACTTGGCCGAACAAACCGTTCATTTGCTAGAACAATGCAGGACATATATACTTACATATATATAAATTATAAATATATAAAATGTACACATACTTAATCCCCCATTTCAGTAAACAGAGCTATTATTATATATACATTTTATGTAATTTATATATAGGTGTTAAAAATATGTGTGTTAAAATATGTTTTCCAACAACTTACTAGTCAAATAGCATAAACACTAATACTGAGTTTCCTTTTTTGACAAAGATAGTACTTTTAAAAATGACATAGCATTGTACAATTTTCCAGTAGTGCTACTGGATGTACCCTGATTTATACATTGCCTAACCTTCCTTGTGGTCAATGATGTTTATTTGGGAGGTTGGACCTGGGTTGCTAGTGGTGGTGGTTAAATATAATTTCAAGCTCCCTGATCCATATAGCAATAAAACCCAGGGCTTTGCTCATTATCACAGTTCTCTAACAAACTGAGCGAGCTTGCCATAGATAAATATAAACCAAGTCAGTAAATATTTAGTAATTGACTGTTATGGTCGTAAGTTTTTTCTAACCTCCAAAATAAACTGACAGCACGTAATGAATAACCGAATAGAAAGATAGAATTAATAAAGGATATTTGTGTGTGTTAATACTTAGGTAGCAATAATGAGCTGTGAAATTTTAAAGGACAGCTGTAAAGTAACTCAATAGATGTGCTAAGGTTAAAGTTGACCCAGGAATTTGTTTCACTGCTTTTCAATAAATAAATAGTTGAGGAAAGATTTGGCGAAAGGAAGAAACTCCTCCTTGTCCTCATTCTCTCAGGAAAGTGGCTCCTGTTAACAAGTTATTTGAATGTTTACTTTGCTTTGACTGCTTAGTGGTGGTGTGTCAGTTCTTACCCTTGAACCAAGTGAGAATTCAAATAAACCAAAAAAAGTTTTCACACAGCTGGCCCCTTCCTCCAGTGAGTGGTACCAAAATATCCTCTCCCATTTTTTAAAAAGAGGTCAGCAAGAAAAAATCTAAAAGGCAGCCCATGAACTGATAGTCTGTGATCAAAATAAAGTTGAATTTGCTACTTGTAGATTTTGGAGTACCTGGCATAGAGAAGTAAGCAGATCCGAGGGGATATTAATTGCCTTATTCAGAGCCATACATAGGTGCTTTACTTTCTATTACTACCCAGTTTTATCAGTGGTTAAATTAACCTTTCTCTACATAAATGAATATGCATATACACTTCTCATTTCTGAAATGTTATTAATGTAGCTCTGTCATTACATTTTGTTGCATTCCATAGTCACTGATTAGATGTCCAGC